TCAGTGCTGTGGATCCCCAAATCACTGCACACATTTACAGAGAAGATTTTGAAGTGATAATGAGCATCACGTCAAGCCTTTGAGAAGTTAAGAGTGCCAGGACTTGGCAGAGGAGGCAGATGACTCAAAAAGCAGCCCTCTAACACTGCCTGCATTCGTGCAGCCCTTCTCTCCCTGGAGCTGGGACCTAGGATCCTCTGAGGCAATGATGGGATTTCCTCCATGCCCACGTTTTGTGGGGGGGAGAAATATTTAGAACCAGACTGAAACCAAAGCCCAGACAAGCAGATTTGGTGACTGAGGGAATCTGGTGGTCTGAGCAGGTTTGTGGGGCTCCATTTCATCCTGGTATGACTCCAAGCAGTTTTCCCCTGGTGCTGCCAAGAAGTGGCACTGCCAGGTGAAACAACATTGTGAGCAGGGGCTGGTAAATCCTCCCTCCCTCCTTCTACCTGCACGCTCCACATTTGAATATCAAAACATCTTCCTTGGTGTTCTATACCCAGGTGCAAGAGGCTAATAAAGGGCTTTTCAGATGACAAATCTTCCTGGGTTTCATCAGCTGATTGCCATCTGGGGGAAGTCTGACAAAGCCTTTAAATTTGCCACTGTTTTGCCTTTTCCCAGCTGCAGAGGCTTGTGGAGGAGAATTGAGGGGAGGCAGGAAGGAAAGGCTCTGCAGAAAAAAACAAACCACACTCTCAGGGCCCAGATCTGCTAGTATCAGAGTGGAGATAAAGATTTTAGAGAATACAATAGGAGGGAGTTTGCCTTTCTGAGTGAAATAACTTACTCTCAGCCTAGGTGATAATTTCCCTAGCTGTCTCAAAGCAGATACCTCAGGGATCAGGTTGCAGTAAGAGTTAGGACCTGAGCACATTTGCAAAACGGGCTTAGTGATCAGTCAAGTGTTATGTGTTTAAAAACCAGCTTTCCTTTATTTTAGACTTGCAATGAGGAAATTCTTAGGATTTGTGCTCTCTGAATTCAAGCGAGGATTAGCTGGGAAGCAGGGAGAGATGTGATTCTAGTTCTGAATGTTCTCCAATGTTTTCACTGTATAAGATAATCTGTGAGCAGTAATTTATTTTCAGCAGCCTTTAGGAGGAATCCCCACAACTAAAGAAAACCAGGCAGGCAGAGGCTTTGAGGGTTGTTAAACTCTTGTCAGGAGCAGTTGCAAACTTTTTTCTCTCTAATGCCTCACCTTTCTCTGTGCAGTGACTCATGTAGAAAGGCTCAGGCAATTTACTGGAAGTGCAATCACTGCCCTCTCATCACCACTGACTGTTTCTGTCTTTCTGCTTCCAGTGTGTGTTCCCAGCTCAGAGTAACTCCAGGAAATGAAAGCTGACAATAGCTGCAGCTCCCGCAAAGGTGCAGGAGGTGACAAGGTGAAATAGCTGCATCTCAGTTTTACTCTCAATTTTTGAAACCAGAAAGGTTTTCATGCCACAGATCAAACAGCAGCTGCTAAACCTTTGGAAAAGGGATGTATCAAGGAAGGGGGGGGGGGCGGGGGGGAATGAAGGGTTTGTTGGTGGTTCTTTCATCATTTCTAGCATGAAACCAGCTAGAAAAATGCTGCTTTGTATGGGAGAGCAGAGTGATGCTGTCTGTGTACAGGTGGATGGAAACTCCTTGGGCTGGTGAGCTGCTCAGTAGCCCTGGGCCGCACTGAGACAAGGGGCTGGCTCAGCTGTGATGCTTGGAGGGATTCATCATGGGGCCTGTTGGCTCATTAAGGCTTGGGGCAACACCTGATAGATGATGAAAAGTCCCAGTCCAACCTGCCCACAGGCTCCAGGGTCAGGCCCAGAGCTGCAGGGTGACAGCACCAGGCTGGAGACAAAACCACCCTGGTTCCCTCCTTCCTTTCTGCTCCCATTTCCTGCAAGGGCCTTGCTTCCTTCACCTGTGTTGATGTCTCAGGGTTCTGGAGGTCAAGATGACCCCAGGATCATAAAAAGTCTTTTCCTCCCAGCCCCACAGCCAAAGAAGAACTCCAGATGTGTCAGTTTTGCTTCTCAAGGTTGTTTATTTTTCCTTAGCTATTACATTTTTTCTCTGACCTGCTGAGCTCTGGCTAGCAAGGAAGCCGTGGCAATCTATTCTGCCCTCTCAGGCAGTGTTTACATTTTATACCAAAAGTTATGTTTAGTCAGTTTACAATAATTTGTAAATTAAATTAAAAATAAATTATCCAACACAATTTGTGTTGGACAGTGTGTCTCTACCTTAAACCAACAGAAAAGTGTCACCATCACACCAAGACATGGAGGACAAGACAAAGGAGAAGAAGGCCAGGACACGCCCAAATCCCTCCATCTTGACCCCCTGAACTACATTCTAAAAACCCCAAAATTCTACTTTTCCACCCTGTGTTAATTCAAATATCACACTACTCAAATCCTTGTGACTCTGACAACCTGCATAAGAGTGTTATGATAGTTCTTTTTAGACTTGGATCTTTGTAAGTGCTTTTTAAGACCCCAAAAGTCTTGCAATAGTGTGATGATGCAGAGAAAACATCCAGATGTCCACAGGTTGTTGTCTTGTGCTCTGCTAAAACCAGAGATTTGGCTACTGATGTCCATATAGCTTGAAGAAATAACATGATAAATTGCATCTGGCTTTGGCAAGAGGGTCCTGGACAGACTGTGGGAGTGGAGGGCCAGCAAATCTGGGCATCAAGCTAATTTCTGTCACTCTTTCCTCAGGCAGTATTGAAGCACAATAACTCAGCTGCCAAATAAAGTGATACCATCAGCTTCCAATTCTTCAACTTCTAGACCAGAACCTTTCTTTCAGAAAATAATCCCTCTCCAGCCTTTCATGTCTGGAGCTGGTACCTGCCACCCTGCATACCAAATCAGGGCTGGGAGGTGTGCTTTTCTGTCTGAGCTGGCTCTGGATGGAGATGCTGAGTTAAAATAGCTTTACAAGCCTTTCTTTAATTGCAATGAAACACTCCTGTTTTCCTTGCAGAGACTCTTCTAGCTGCATTCTGTGGCTGCCTGTATGCTCAGAAATTCCCCTTCCCCACCAGAATTCAGAGTTACTGCTCCTTTTGGTTTTGTTACTGCTTTCCTCGTGTTTTATTTTCCTCACACTCTTCAGAAAAAGGCTGAACATTTGCTCTCTGTGTTCCTCAGTCCTGCCAGCAAACACCTGTGACTCCTGAGCATTTAAGGAGTTCAGCCCACAGGAGTTGAATAAGCAACCTCTTAGATAGGGACTCAGGGATGCAATGCAGAAAGTCACTGCTGATAAGGTCTGCACTTCTAGCAGGTGTTTCTGTGCTGGGAAAACAGCCCTTGGGGGATGGGGGAAATTAGAGATGCCATAGACAAGGGGCCAGGGTCACTGAGCTGTGCCACAACACAGCTGCTTAGTATGAGTGGAGAGAAAATCTCTGCTGTGGCCCAACTGTTCCCATCAGGAGATGCTCAGGGGGGCATTGAAATGGGAAGAGAAAGGGAATTTTTAATTAAATGGTTAAGAACTGCTCTCCTCCTGCTTTTCTTCACCAGAGCTGCCTTCTAGCACTGAGGAAGTAGCTAAACACCCAGCATCAAATTTGGTAGGTTTGGGGGGTTTTTGTACAGGGATGGAAAAGAAAGAAAACGGGTGTTGAAAGAAAAGGTATCAAGTTGCAAAGTGAGTATGGGGCAGATGCAGCCGGTGTGATTTTCTTATTTTTTAGAACTTTCCTGAAAGATTTGTCACTGCATTGGCAACAAGTCCTTGCCCTTTCCCCTGGATTTCCTGCCTCCAGGCAGGAGCCAGGCTGATATTCAGTGGTTGCTTGCTGAGGCTGCCATGGGTGTCAGTCAGGATGTCCCCAGGCTGGGCTGTGCTGCTGAGATGTGACCAGGCTGACGAGGGAGCTGTTTGCTCAGCAGCCTGTGTGTGAGGACACTGCTGGGTGTGTGGTGACTGCCAGTGCTGTCAGTGACACCGAGGAGCTGCTCTGGTCACACATCAGCAGATGCTCCACAGGAGATGTGTGAAACTGCCAGAGGGACCCTTGGCCCTGGAGCTCTGGTACCGCTCAAGCACGAAGGATTATGAGCCTGACTCTCCCCTTGTTGATCTGGGGATGAACCAGAGCATTTCTGAGCTCTGCTGATCCAGTTCAAGTGAGGAGAACAGGCTGGAAAGGGAGAGCCCACGTGGGAAGTCATCACTTCTGTCAGTTTTGCCCCCTGAGAAACATCTCTCTTTCCCAGGTATCCCTTCCTGCTTTGTGTAAAACTCACAAGCAGCAACTGCTGCTTTATCTGCAGATCCTGCCTAGGACAGTCCCTATCCCATCCCACAGCAATTTTCTCTCTGGAACATTCCAGCTGGCTCCTCTGCACAACTTGGCCACAGCAAAAATGCAGAGTTGACCTTGAGGCTGGGCAGTGAAATTCTGGTGGGATCCTCCAGTGCTGCACCTCCAGCTGCTGCAGCTCCTTTCCCTTCCAAAGGACTCCACTCTTCAAAATACCCTGGGCAGGAGCTTGTCTTTATCAGTTCTCCCCCCAGGTCATGATCAGGAAGGCTGACTGAAATGTGGAAAAAGGGTTCATTTGATCCCCTCAGTACCAGCACATGCTGCCTCCCTGCAAGCCTGGTGTGCCAGGACTGCTCCAGGAGGTTTAATTCATTTTTTTCTGGAGTTTTTCCTCACAGGACAGATGAGGGTCACAGACTTGGAGGGCATCTCATTCCCCATAAAACTCTGCAAAAACATAAACAGCCAGCCCTGAAGTTTTGCTTCCAGCAGGGCTCTGTAAATTCCCAGACCTCTCTTGCTCTTCTGCCCCCTTCACCCTTGGCTGTGTTTTGGCTGGAGGAGGCAGCAGATAAAGCCCTGAAGGCAGCAGCAGAGCTGGGGATGTGTCAGGAGAGATTGGGCTCTCTTGGTGCAGATGGCAATGGAGTGAGATCAGCTGCTGGCAGGAGCTGGGGGGGATGTGTCCAGGAGTCAGGGCATAATCTCTGTCTCTGCCTGATTTTTGTGGCATCTCTTTATTTATTTGTTCTTGAAATGTTTCTGCCCTGTCTGTGGTCCTTTGTGCTCATTTCTGGGGAACAATGAAATTGTGGGGTGTTTCTGCAGCAGGGGCTATGAATGCAGCTAGTGGCCATATAAGTACAAAGTATTACCCTTATAAATCATTTCGTCACTTTTCCTCCATGAAAAATGATCTGTCTTTATCAGCCCCCAAAAAAAGCACAAATAGAAAGGACAATTTCTTTCAAATGCTGCTCAGCATTATCAGATGGATGACACAGAGATCCCTGCAGGCCTGGCTTTGTCTGGGTTTGTGCCTGTTTTGCTGAAGGCATGGCCATGAGAGCAAAGTGTGTTAAAGCCTTGGGTTATATCAGAACAACCAGAATTTGAGTCGACTCTCTTATCCCAGTGGTGATGGATTTATTCCAGGCCAGAGGAAGTCTCACCATCTCCAACTTTCCTGACTTGCTGTTAAGACCACTGCCATTTCCAAAACATATTTTCTGTTCTTTTTGGAGGGAAAAGGTACCATTTGGCACCATTTTGTGTTCCCAATGAGCCCTTTGCTACAAGAGCAGGATTGTTTCCCATGAGTACTCTTGATAGTCTGGAAAAACACCACAAACTTCTTAACAGGTTCATGAATGTCAGGTTTATGGCATCATGTGTTGTGGTTTCCTACAGCCACCTCTTCCTCACAAGTCCCTGAAGCTGTAAATAGAAGGAAGTGTTGGGAATGGCCAATTTGAGCACTGAGAAAAGAGATCTTCAGAGATCTCATCCAAAGGCAAGGATGGATCAGGGCTGACTTCTCATTAAGTGATTTCTCCTCAATGAAAAGGACTGGCAAGGCAGGATCATCTTTGCCTTTTCCATCAGGAATCTGTTCTGTCATATGTGGGGAATAAAAAAGTGATTAGGGGCAGCTGTAATTGCATTTTTGGAATAAATTCTTGCTCAGATTTAACACTGTGACATTATGCTGTTTATGATGTGTGTAATTAAAACAAAGTAAAAAGAACATCTTTTACTCTGCTGTGGGCTGGTCAAGGAGTCACATATATGTTGTGCTCCAAGGAAGAGGCTGGAAAAGAGAAAAGGGTGCAAGGAATAAGTGGATTGTTTTGAAAGACAACTAAAAAAGGGGAGAAAAGAAAACAATAAAGTAGAGAAAAGCCAGAGGCTATCCATGCTTATCCCCAAACACTCTGTTCATTCCAAGCTTATCAGAATTTCTAGACCCTGGTTTACTCAGTTCCTTTTGTTTGGAGTCCAGCTGCATTTCTGGTGCATGGTGGAGGAACCATGTGCTTTTATGTGTCTCCCCAAGCTCTTGCCCTTCTCTGACACACTGCATCACTCTGGGGTCTGCCTGAGAAGCCTGGAGCTGGCAGGAGTAGGGCTGAGCAAACATCTCTCAGCTGGTGAAAGGAATTCCTGGCAACACCTGGCAAGCTGAATCTTATCACACTGTTCTGCATACCAGGGACCTTCACTTTGCATTAGCCCTCAAAAAGAAAAGCAATATTTTCCCAGAGCCAAAATCACACTGCCCTCAACAGTGTCCTCTTGCCCAGTCACCAACCCTTGCTCATGCCAGGTGCCTGGATTGGCAGGGAATGAATGATGAGATTGATCTGCCCAGGGAGGGATACCTCAGCAGGGATTTCCTTGGTTGATTTTATTGGCAAATCTGGTATCATTCTTACCCAGCTCCTGGAAAGAAAAATCCCTTTCCACCCCTAACATCCACATTCCCCATGTGCCCAGCTGAGGACTGGTGCTCAGGAACACCCTACTCTCAAGCAAACACAATTTCTAAGGTGACATTCAGGTGTCCAGGCTACTGAAGACAGATTTTGATGTGCAGCAAAGATGATCAGACCTACAAAGCCTGTTGTGCACCTGAAGGTCAGGGGCAGAAGGTCTTTGATGGGCTGGGCTATGGTCAGCAATGTGGCTGGGTGATGGCAATGACCATCCCTTCCACTGTGAGGACACATGGCTGTCTCCCTGGCTGGGGGTGGAATGTGGAAATGGGGAGGAAACAACTGAATCAGAAGCTTAAGGGAGAATGGTCTGTCAGAGAGTCCCAGCTCTGGTCTCTAGTAAAGACCTCGTTTGGTGATTTCCACTGAAGAAATGTCAATATCATCGAGAATCTGCAGCTTGGTGATGGATGAAAGATTCTTCTGTCGATGCTGGTACTGCAGGACTTTGTTTTCATTGATGAAAACATGGAAATAGTCCTGGTCAGAGTAGATTTCAACCTGAAAGAGAGACTGTGCTATGTTCATGTGGCCTCACTAGACCTTGCTTCCATTATGTCAGGGAACTGCCGGATCTATCCATCCACTTCAAACTGACACACACACTGCTCACCCCCACTCTGGGCAAAAAGAGGGAATAACTGAGCTTTTCTTTTCATGATAACAAAATTTGATGGTAAAGCAAAGCCTAAATTGAAAACAAATACATAATCCAGGGATTATTGCTGGAACTCTGCATGTCTGTGCCATAGTTGGTTATAAATCATCAGGTTATAATGGGATTATTAACAGGAGAGAAAGTCAGAGAGGGAATGTGCTGGGTATGGTGTTGGCAGCAAAGGCAATGGGGAGCACCCCAATATTGGCTGGGTTATTCCTGTTACACCTGGGGGGATCTGTGGGGTGACAGAGTTACCTGAAAGGGCTCCTTGGCCTTGAAAGGGAAGGTGCTGTTAACCTCTTCCTGCCCCCAGTGGCTGTTGAGGAAAGAGTTGCAGACAATTCTGGAGCTGGAGAGGCGAGGGTTAAAGTGGAGAGCGATCTGGTCTCCAGGCTCACAGAGCAAATTAATTTCAAACCTAAAGACAGTGAGAGAAAAGGGATGGAGAGCTGTGAACGATGCTTCTGACCCTTGTCAGCCAGGAGAGCTGGGAGCAGATCAAGTCCTTACATGCTTGAACGGGAACTGGTCTCACCCTTGACCACGATGCTCCATCCAGGACAGATTCCCTCTGGGTGCAGGGCCTCAAACTGCAGACAAGGGGAGGACACAGCAAGGGGGCAGAGAGGCAGTGCCCCACTCATCCTTACACTTCTTTCTCACATTTTCATGGTAATTTTCTTTCTCTCTCCTTCCCACACAGGCACATTCTCTATCCCCATGTTTTTCTCACTCCTAAATAATCTCAGAGACTCTAAACTGATAAGAAATCAAGTTTCTATGACATTCAGTTGATGAGGTGGGATTTGCTGTCCCCGAGGTCTTTTGTAAAGAACTGAGCGGGATCAGAAAGCAAAAATTAAATAACTTGAATGCCTTCATTGTTGTCAGGACAGAAAGATATTCTGCTTCTCTCTGCACCTGAGCAATACAAAATCAGAAGCAAAAACCTTTGTGATGCTTTTAAGCAGATGAACTGGTGAAAAGTGCCATCCAGTCTAAGCTCATCCAGTGTTACACGGCTGATTCTTCTCACAGTTCCTGCCTGAGCCCCTGTTCCACGTGCTCTCTCCATCTCCAAGGTTAAACTTGCATAAAATGAGCTGGAAAATGTTCCTTTTTTGAATAATTAATAGTTTTGTGAAATAACTCATTTTAATAAGGAGTTCTTACCATTTCACCCCACTTTTTTTCTTTTTAGCACTCTAACGATCTTTAATTTCTGAACATCCCCTCTCACAAACTTGCTCACATTAGGAAAATCTCCCCAGCCTTGGATTTCCACTGCCAGTTGTGTGCCTGTTTCTCCCTTCCTATAGCTCAGGACTTCAACTCCCCTGTTTCTTCCTCTGTCACGAGTTTTATTTCCAATGCCTTTTTGGGATATGCATGTTTTTGGGCAGGAGCTGAGACATTTGGGCTGGAGTTGGCGATGACCAACCTCATACCTTCGTGCCTGGCTACTTTTTGGGACCCCACACATGGGCACTGAAAGGCTCTGATCAGTGTCCCCCCCAGTGAGGCACAGAGAGCTGCTGGAGCTGACGAGTTTGGGATTCAAAGAGCACGATGGCAGCACCCAGGTTCACCTTGCCTTGACCCTTAATTCGCAATCATTACACCAACCCCAGCAAGAGACACAGCACACACAGGAAAAAGCTGTTCCCCTTTTGCTGCTGGATTAAAATCTGTTTTATTGCCTGTTGCTGAGCACCACGAAACTCAGTTTTGCACTAGCCTGGACCAGACTGGCATAGAGGAGCAGCACTCTAAGCAGCACCCATGTGTTATTCAGGATTTCTACCTGTCTGGCACTTCTGTTGCACCTTCCTTTACCCACGGGCAGACCCGTGCTGTCACCCCAGCAGTGTCACAGCGTGTCCCCAAGGCTTACCCGCAATGCCATCGCTCACCAGCCCCGCACCGCAGCCCAGCCCGGGCACGGACAGAGGGGTTTTTATAGATGCTGCCGGCCAGGAGCATCCCACGTGTGCGGGGATTGGCATCACCAGCGGGCTGAGGGCTCCTGGCCCAGCCGGGATGGAGCAGCAAATCCCGCTGAGCCCGGCGGGGCCAGCCCGGCTAATCCGGCCCGGTGCTGGGCTCTGACGTGATGGAGCCGTGGGATCCAGGGGGGGCAGAGGTGTCTAAGGCATGAGGGAGAGATGGGGACCCCCAAATACCAGCAGTCATACCCACTTCAAGCTCCAGAGTGAAGGGAGGTGGCAGAGAGAAGTGGCGCCTCCGACAGGGGCTCAGCTACACCCTGACCATCGGAGATTGCTGTTTCCTCCCGTTTTCTTTTTTTTCTCTCTTTGTGAGTCACAGCCTGGCCTGAAATGAGCTGATGCCAGCTTTGTCACAGCCACTTTCCCCCCTCGTGGCGCCCCGGGGCCGGCCAGGCTCGGGATGCTGCTGTGCTGAGCTCAGCATGCCCCGGTGCCGCATTTCCCTTCCCTGCTGGGGACAATGCAGGGATTTGGGAGCAGGGTGAGGGAGCCTTTGTCCAATATTTCCTGACATGGAAATGCACCAAGAAATGAGCAGCGCTGAAATGAATTTCAGTGATGAGGTGTTTTCATAAGCTAGGGAAGGGAGGGATGACTGTGCATCCTCCCCGCTTCCCGCAGTGTCAATGTCTTAAAACCATTAAACACTGTCCCCATCTCTGTATGCATGGGAGGCTGTGATGGTCCTTGGCTGGTCCTACAGAAATCCACGGCTTTTGTGGACTAAAACCCCCTTAGTGTATAGGCCACAACGCTGGGTATTATTTAATGTTTGTTTTATTTCCGGCAGATAAGCAGAATGATAACTACTATTCCAGCCTCTGGTGCCCTTGGCAGGCAACTAAAACCGCAATTCAGCAGACACAGAAGCCAAGAGCCTCTCTGGAGACTGAAAAAGCCAAGTCCCAGGCCAGGACTGGCTCATTTGGACTGACAAAACCAAGCCTTGTGAAGCTGAGCTGTGCGCGGGTCTCTCCGGCTGTGCTGGGGAGCAGGAGCAGAGCTCTGTGCTACAGATGGCAGCATTGGGACGTGCAAGGAGCCTGAGCCAGCGGCAGACCTGCCCAGGTGCTGTTGGAAGGACAGGGACACGGACAGGACATCCCACCTGCCACTCCTGGGGTTGCTGAAGGATGATGGACATTGGTGTCTCCAATCTGTTGAGCTGCATCTTTCCCTGAACCCAATATTGTGTTTTCAGCTCCCAGATCATCACTCCCTCCTCACTTCTGCTGCCTGCAAGGGGCTGCAGGGAGAAAGAGCAGCTTTTGAGATACTCCCAGTGATGGTGGGCAGAACCAAGCAGAACTGCTGTCCTGTGCGTAGGAAAGGAGGGGTCTGCTAGCTAAATAAGTGTGTCCAGTTTATAATGATTGTGTTAGTGATATCAGTGGATTGGGGTAAGGCTTGGGCACTGCAGAGCAGGTTGCGTTCAGGCAGGCTCAGCTCCTCAAAGGGTGAGTCTGGGTCACCCCAAATCCAGACAGACTTCCCAGAGCTGTTTCCCACCAGTCCAGATCACGGGTTATGATTTCCCCAGAGCACACCTCCGTGCAAGGCTTCTCCAGACTTGCTTATCTGCTGCCTGGCAGTATTTACACCTCCTGTAGCCATTTCATCTTCTTGAGGGAATTGCTAAACCTCCCCTGTGCAAACAGAGGCCAGCCCTGTGCACTGGCCATGCTGCTTTAGGAATGTGCTACCCCAGGAAGGGTTTAGGATGTTGCTTTGCTGGCTCTCCCCCTCCCTTTCCCCCAGATCTATGGCTCTGCAATAACTCAGGATCTCTCTCCAGCACTGCTGTCTACAAAGGACTGGCCATGTCAGTGCTATGCCAGGGCTGGATGCTGTGAATGCTCCTCCAGGCTTAGTATGGGAGAGAAAATACCTATAAAACATTGGTGAGTTAAACCACAGACTGTGGTATCTCTCTGTTTCTGTGATCTCATGCTGGTGTGCTTTACGGGACTGGCCAGGAGAGGGCTGGAGAGTGCAGGCAAATCCCTGAGACAAATTATAACAAAATTCACACATGGTTCTAACTCTAACTCTCCTCTAACTCTGGAAGAGACTGATGCAACCCCTGCTGCTGCTCTGGGACAGGGGTCAGTGCCGCAGCCTGCAGCTCTCATCCCTGCTGTAAGGAGACTCCAGCTCTCTGGCAGGAGCCCCTTGGAGCTGCTCAGCCCAAGCATCCCCAGGCAGCTCATCAGAGAGCCCCAAAGGAAAACATCACACCCTGTAAGGTGGCAAGAGAAACAGGGGGAAGCTGACACCCTGGCACACGCTGCTGGGCTCCAGCTGAGCCTCCTGCCCCTCACTGCGTGTCAGCCCCACTAACCAGAGCGGCCTCAGTGCTGGCAGCTCCTGGGGACGATGTGCTTGCCAGACCTTCCATTCTTTGGCCTCCTGGTAGCATGTCCTGTGGCAAGCACGTTTCTCTCCCTCTCAGGATTTTTTATAGAGGTGCACAGAGAGAAATGAAAGAGAAAACACAATTTCTATTTCTGCTCCTGGTTTTTCCTGGAATGTGGAATGTGTTTGGAGAATTGTTTACCTGGAGTGAGTGCATGGTTGGATTCTGGTGAGGATTGTTTGAGCCTGATGGCCAATCCAACCCAACTGGGGCTGGACTGGAGAGAGAGGGTCATGAGTTGTGTTAGAGTCCGAGAAAGTAGTATGTGGTTTTAGTATCCTCCTTTTCTATAGTACATTAATGTATTTTAGCATAGTTATAATAAAGAAACAATTCAGCCTTCTGAATTGAGTCAGACATCGTCATTCCTTCCCATTGAGTTTGCCTGCATTTCCAATATCTCATCATCCTCCCAGTTAGGCACTGGTGCTGGGGAAGGGAAGGGCGTGTTCTCTCCCCCAGTAGCTGTCTGGGTAGCTGTTTGGTATGGAATTCTGCTTTTATTCTTGTGGATGGTAAGAAAAGGAGCCTGGTTCTGTCCCAGACAGTGTCGTGAATGCAGCTCATTGCAAGTGAAGTCTCTGCCTCTCTTTGCTCTTTCCCCACACTGGTGGAAAGGGGAAGGTGATCCCACCCCTTGACAGGGCCATGAACCCACAAAAGTGCAGCTGAGGCCAAGCCTGGAGCTGCTGCTGTCCCTGGCCCAGCTCCTGTTCCCCGCTCAGGACTTCCCTTCCACGGCTTTGAGGAGCGGGGATGAAAGGCAAGGGAGTGGAAACACAAAGCATGCCTGGTTTATTTTATTTATGACTGGCCTCTGCTTAAAAGGAAACCAGCATTATCAGTTCCAGCACCGCCAGGTCAGATGAGTAAATGAAAGAGAAGGGTTTCGTTTATGGCTGGGAGCTCGAGTTTGCTCTTATAAGGGCATCCCACCAGGCACTGCCTGCTGCCACTTTGCTGCTGCTCCTGGCAGGGATGGCCAGGCCCAGCCACAAACTGAACCAGGGTCTTGCAGAGGTGGAAGCCCTGAGGCAGAGAGTGGCTGAGATCAGGTTGTACTTACTCCTCCTTCTTTGGCTTGGGGCAGCCACCTGTGCCACAGCACAGCATCCCTGCAGCCAGGATCCCAGCGGGTCCCTGCCCACACCAGTGCACTGTTATCCTGCCAGGCTTGCTGACCCTGGCTGTGCTTTCCTGCTCAATTCCCCAGGGAGAAGGTGGTAGAACCACATCAGAGTAGGTCACTTTGCCCTCACCAGTGACTCCACTAAACTCAGTAGTCTGAAAATAGGTTTTAAATAAAACCCAGGCAGTTTTGAATCCAGCTCAGACATACCTGGAAAGGTCCTTGTCAGAGAGCTCCAGGGCAGTTGCAGTTTGTACCTAGAAATTGGGTTTCCTTGAAATATTTCCATCCCCTGGCAAGAGGAAGCAGCCACAGGAAAGGAGTGCTGGGTTTGGGGCATGGCTGGTGCTGATCGTCACTCCTGCACGTCAGGTGCAGGCAGAAGGTAAACACACAACCTGGCACAGGCTCTTGTTTAATGCCTGGGGTTTTTAGAGCCAATATTTAATGATCCGTAAATAATTGCCCTGTTGTATATGCAGGGACCTGATTTATCCTGCTCCTTGATGACATCTTCCAAACTCCTCAGGGAGACAGCTGTCTCCCTCTTCCTGGTGATTGATGGAGAAGGAGGAGAGCTGGCACTTGGCCCTGTCGTGCTCCTCAGAGTTGGCGTGTGGGTGTATTGCTTGTCCCTCCACAATGGCTCAGAGCTACAGCAATGACAGATCCTCAGGGGGAGGGAGGTTATGTGTGAATTCTCCCTGCTCATTCTTGAGTCCCTGTTCCTGAGGAGCAGCATCAGCATTGTCAAATCCCCCTTCACTCCCCATTGCCAACTCTTGCCAGTTCAGAAGCGCTTCCCAGTGTCTTCCCAGGTGAGGTTTGCCTCTGGGAGCCCTTCCTCCTCAGTTTGAGCAGCTGTTATTCCATGTTGAATGATTTACCACCCCAAAGCAGAGAGGGAGGAGGCGGCACAGCACTGGAGGGGCTGCAGCTTGGCCGTGTGCTCTGCTCCTGTGCAAGTAACAGCACAACCATCTCCTGCTGATGCTTCCCCTGCAAGATCTGTGCCAGCCCTTGGCCAGGGAGCCCACGTGGCAACAGGCCTGAGCACGGCACAGGCGGCCACGCTCCACTATCAAAGCCTGAGCTGCTGCCCGGGAGCGGCGCGTGGGCTGAGCCGCAGTCGTGCGCCCGCAGGAGGGTTTGGAGAAGATGCAGAGGAGAGAAAAGCCTGGAGCGGTGGAAAGAGGCAGGGAGGCAACCTGTGAGGTTTTAGGGATGCTCTGGAGTTCAGGGAGCAGCCAGTCACAGGTGTCTGCCGTGTGCTGGAGCCCTTTGGCTGTTGGCAGGTTTCATGAGGACTGCTCGGGTCTGCGGGACTTTGGAATTTGTTTTGCTCTCCTTTTCACTATTTTCTATTGAGATTTATTAAGGAGTCATAGGTTCTGACATCATAAAAACCTTTCCATCCAGTTTGATATCCTCATCACACCTGAAAACCTTTGTCCCACAGGCTGCTTCCTAGAGAAGGTCCAGTTTGGGCTCAGATGGTGACTGGCACCAAAGGAGGCAGAAAAACTCTAAAAAGACAAAAACAATGAGACCATGAGAATCACAAACATTTCAGCCTCCTGCAGCCAGTTGCTGAGCCCAGCCCTGAGTGACCTTTCCCAGGCACAGAGAAGTGCAAATAATACTTACCCAGGAGGAAGATGTGCCAAGGTCAGAGCCAGCTCAGCCCCTTCCCAGCAGGCAGCCAGCCTGGAGAGCTCTGTCCGAGAGCCACCATCCATCAGGGGGGCAGAGATGGTGCTGCCTCCAACCAGGATGAGCAGTTTTTCCTCCAGGCAGATCAGTGGTGGTCAGGGCTAGGACACAATAGATGGCATCATGCTGGGCTCCTGGAGCTGCTGATAGAAGTGTGAGCTCCACCCCAAGGAGACCACCAGGGAGGCATTTGTCAGGGAGGAACTCTGGGTTTGGACAACAAAAAGGGTTTAGGGACTGGCAGGCTTGCAGCTCTGACAGCCTGAGCATGTCCTTCCTCCACCTCTGACTCTTTGACCACTCCTTGCACCACCACTGCTTCCTTCTCTTGGTCCCGTGGCACCGAGGCACCAGCTCATCATCTGCCCTGCTGCAACAGAGGCACAGTGACAGCAGAAGAAGGGATGTAAGGTCCACTCCCCATCCCAGGCTCTGTGGGAGGGTGGGATGACACAGAGGTGAGTGGTAGGAAGGACATTTTCAGCCTGGCAGGGTGTGGCACACATCCAAAGGTACCAGTACCAGCAGGACCCCACACATACCTGCTTTAGGCCACCCAGCAACAAACCCTTGAGCTTGGAGCACTGGTCCCCTCCACGTGGGCTCTGACCTTTGCTACTGGTGGCTGAGGAGAAGTGCTGGGTGTTGCAGCAACCTACAAGAGGCAGCTGGGGAGGAGGATGCAGCTTTTTGCTATTTTGGAGAGCAGGGAGGAAGAGGAAGGGCTGCTAGCAAAGAGCGAAACTAGAAAAATGACGACGATGACAAAAAACCTTCTCCCATTTAGGGAACCAAATGCATTTGTTTCCTGGTGTGACCAGGATAGCTCAAAGCGAGAGGCACAGGAGAGGCACACGTTCCAGCTGTGAGGGGCAGCTCTCAGGTGCCAGGTTTCAGCTGGAAAGGACCAGAGGCTCCAGCAGCCCCCTGAGCCCAGGGGCCGGGAGGTGCCTTTGCCCAGAGGCCTCTCTCCTTTGCCTGGCTCCCCTCAGCCTCTCCCCAGCACTGTCCAGGAGGAGCTGCCTTGCTGTCACACCCCAGAGCTGGGCAGCAGCCAAGGAGGTGGCAGCCAATGGTACCACATTTTTTGGAGATTTTGGGGTCACAGTAGTGCTGAGGAATGAACAAGGGGGATCACGGCCTTCCCTATAGCCATATCTGCTGCTGCCCGTCCTGCTGCTGGAGCTGGAGGAGCACCAAGCCCACCTCCACCTCTCCGCTGCTCTCTGCCCCTAACCCGACTCCCGGGCCCCGCCCCAGCTCCTCATCCGCAGACAGTGAAATTCTTCTCCAGACAAACAAACAGGCGGCCCTGCCCCAGGGAGCCTGTGGTCAAGGCAGGAGATGCCATGTTACTTGGTTTCTTCTCTATTTTCACTTTGGCTTTTAGACTTGCAGATGGGCTCCAGCCACAAAGTCTGGAGGCAGGTCCAGCTTCCAGTGACTCCTGCTTGGGTGGAGGCTGAATCCAGGCTGTTGGTTTAGTCCCTCTCTATTTCTGGTGCTGGCTTTCTATGTAATTTGATTCCATATAGTTATGGATAGACCTAACTAGAGCGTGAGAATTTCAGCACGGGAGGTGAAGGGATGCTTTATGAATGAAACATTTGTTAGTGCAAGGTTTCAGCAAGAGGAAGGGACACAAACTGGCAGGAAGAGCGCAGTGTTGGGGGACCAAGGGGTTTAATCCACAGAAGGCTCCACCCAGACCCACCCACACGTTGGCTGCAGTTTTCCTGCTCACAGGGCAGCTCTGGGAATTGGGATTGAATCCCATCTGCATCTCAGTAGCAGCTCAGGAGAAGCCAAGGCACGCTCAGGAGCTGAGGACAGAGCTGCAGCTCCAGAATGTGCTGTATCCATCTTCCCTGCTCCTGTCATGATGGTGAGTCTCCAGCCCCTCAGGGCTGTGGAGCAGGCTCAGAGAGAAATGCCATTTGCTGCAGCCAGGGGCAAAACTCCCACTGATGGAAAAGGACCGGGATGCAGGGGTTTGGCCTTTGTCTTCAAGAGAGATCTGTGGTAGCTCTGACCTGCCTCAGCACTTCATCATTCCTGGTTTGTACTTGATGTGGATGGTAGCCTGGGGAGATGTTATCCAACCATGACTCTGCTCCTCACATCCTCTGCTGTTGTTCCTCCTCCTCCTCCTCCTCCTCCTTTAGATCTCTCTGATGGGAGAAATTATCTTGTTTTCTGGAGCTTTTACCAAACTGCAAGGGGTTTTCCAAAACATCTGGAACAGCTCACGGAGCTGGAGTGGAGTGTAACGCTGAGGGTGGAAATAGGGTCATGGAAACAGAGGCACCCTGTGAGATTAATGCTTGGGAGCGACACTTGGGACGGGCTGAGTTCAAATCCTCGCCCCAGTCAGAAAGGAAAAGAGCTGGCAAAGGACAGTGAGACCCTCTCCACACCACCACGTGCCTCTGCTGCCCAGGAGGAGCCAGCAGTGCCCACCTCACACGGGGATGTGGCTCCGTGCTCTGAGGGCAGCGTGGGGCTTCGGTGTCCCAGACCCAAACCCTGCTGCTATATTCAGGCTGTGGGAGGAGCTCCAGAAAGAAGCCAGTATTTTGCAAAGGGCAATGAGGCCCCTTGGGTTATTTGGAGGCTGCCAGCTTGGCATCCGTCACTGCTGAAATACTGAGATGGCTCTGAATACAAAGCAACATGTAGTTAATTAAAAGAGGGGTGTAACTGATGCCAAGCCCAGAAAAGGATGAAAATAGACCTCTACAAACGATTCTATTTCTACAGGGCTAGGATTTGCACTGATAAAGAGGATCTTGTCAATGCCACAGCCTTGGTTGTGTGGTTTGACTTGGCGTCAGGCCGTGGTACAAATAGAGCTGGAGTGGAGTCTGCTGCTCAGATAAATTGATAAATTCTAACAAAGCAAAGCCATCACAGCTCACCTGATGGGAGGACAAAGGGGGCTGGGAGGTGCAGCTGTCCTGGGGAAGTGTGTGGGGTTCACAGAGGGGTTGCAAAGTGGTTGGTTCTTGAGTTTTACCTGTTAAGGGAAAAAAGAAAACCCTTCCGGTAACATTTTTAGACAGCTGCTAAAAAATAAGCCAGATCACTCGACTTGGTGCAAGCCAGAATTGCCTTTTTTAGTACAACCACAAGGAGATTCTAGGAAAAGGGAAGGTGTGATTTATAGGATGGGACAACCTCTTTCTTGGAAAGGAAAGTACGTGAAAGCCATGGCAGAACCATGACTTTTAGCCTTATTTTAGTGGGACAACCTCTAAAAACATTTCTGTGTCCCCTCAGAGGTAATCCAGGCTCCCAGGGCCAGTCCTTGGATTTGTGATTTCAAAGACCTGCAGTAACTCTGACTGTCCCATCAGCTGTGCTGGGGCGAGGATGGAGGGTGCATTTCCTGTGGCTGTGACAATGGGGTGAGAGCAGGGAGGGCCATGTCCCCAGCTCTGGTGTCCCCTTGCCAAGAGAAGGGTGGCACATTGGGAGTGTCCAGGAAAAGTGCCCCAGAAGTGATTCAGGGCCTGGAAATGTTGCTTATGCAGACAGGGTGGAGAAGCTCAGTTTATTTTTTATTATTTTTTGTTATTTATTTTAGCACTAGATATTGAAAAGTCCTGGCTGATGGATAATGATATCCCTAAATATCAGGATTGAGAGGGGAGAGGGTTTCCTGGGCCAACAGGAAAAACAAGATAAGATCAAATGAATGAATACAAAAGGGTATAACTTTGGGCATGAATGAACACTAAAGTCATCTGAAAATTTTAAATGGAGACTGGAACAGCCCATCCCCCTGCACTGACTGCCAGGAAATCTTTAACTTCTGCAGAGAATATTTGGGAGTTCAGGGTGAGGGATTCTTGCAAGCTGCGGCTGTGCCTCCACCTGCCAGCCCACAACAGGCTTGCAGGTTTTAAACCCAGATTTAAACACTGATGGCCTCAGGCTTTCCTATCCAGGCAAGAAAACAAGCTGTGAAAAAAGTAAACATGTCACTGAGGTATTTTCCTTTCAGATGGGTTGATCTTTCCAAGCTCAGAGAGAGGACACAAGGAAGCTGCTGTCAGACATGAGGATACCAGCCTTGACTTCACAAATATTTGAATAATATTTACTGAACTTTGTGTGTTATTCCAGAAGTTAAAAAAAAAAAAAAAAAAGAAAGAAAGAAAAAGAAAAAAAAAAAGGGAAGAGAAAATGTTTCACTGGACTCTGGCAGATGTGATTCCCCCAGGTAACCTCACTGTTCACCAGGCTCAGCAGCTGCCATCACCACCGGCTGCACTTGTCCTGGCGTGCCTGGATGGAATCCTTGTGGCATCCAAAGCTCCTTTTAAAAGGGGTGGTGACCCATGGGGGGCACCATGCATGGCCCAGCACCACGAGACCCTAGCCCATCTCCATCACACCCCACAGACACAGCTGGCATGCTGCCACAGGGATGGGCACCGTGCACAGATGGGACATTGTTCATGTAGGATCTCCCTCAACTGTTTTTGCTGCTGAGCTCCCTCTGTGCTTTCCTGTATTTGAACCCCTTATCACAGCCCTGCTGCCAGAACATGTGCTTGGGAGGGTGAGTTTTATGGGTTGATAAGGTTTTATTGCAGCCAGACTTATTAATGGATGTCTGAAATAAAGAGATGAGGAGCCTGAGGAGATGGGGTCTAGGCAGCTCCAATTTCCACTAAACTCAGTAGTCTGAAAACAGGTTTTAAATAAAACCCAGGCAGTTTTGAGTCCAGCTCAGGCATACCTGGGAAGGTCCTTGTCAGAGAGCTCCAGGGCAGTTGCAGTTTGTACCTAGAAATTGGGGTTCCTTGAAATATTTATTTCCATCTTCTGGCAAGAGGAAGCAGCCACAGGGATGTGGTGTATGCAGTACCCTGTCCACACCTCAGCCCTATAACACACCTCAGGAACCCCTCAGAACCCCAGAACAGTGAGGGCTCCCCACTGCACCCCACTGGGCCATCCCACCAAGTATAGAGCGATTTGCACCCTCTTCTGCCTCAGTTTCCCTCTCCACTCCATCACAGCCTTCCCTCCAACATGGGCCAAGTTCTTCTCTTGGCAGCAGTTTGCATTTAACTTTTTCTCTTCCTTAACATCAGATTAGAAATAAATTAAACTGGCCAGTAATGACTTTGCCAGGTGCTGACTCCTTCTGCACTTCAGCTCTGAGTGTCCTTTGTGTGCGTGTGTGCACAAGCGAGGAACAATGATTAAAGAGGCTTTATTAGTCCCATGACTAAGCTGTAATAGGAAAAACCTGTGTCCTTCCTGCCAGTGACCAGCACGGGGAGAGCAGTTCTCTCTGAGCACTCTGTCCCTGCCCCTGTGCAGAGCACAATGCTGTGGCCACATTAAGGGTTTTCTGCTCTCTTTTACCCCAATGAACAGAGAGGGAAGGTGATGTCAGACATGAAGATGGTTGTGTGTGGTCTCCCCAAGCTGTCTGTGGTCCCCTCAAGCTGTCTGTGGTCCCCTGCTCCCAGCAGGAGTGTCTGTTCCCTGGGTGCTGCAGGGGACTGGGGGCTCACTCCATTCAGTTCCCTTCCACAAGCTGGTGGTTTAACCTGCCCCTGCTCATGGGGATGGTGGTCCAGCCAAGGACACAGGGTGATGTGGAGGCTGCAGTTCTTGGAAAAGGATTTGTTTGGGATCACTTGAACCAATCTTTCCCTAAATCCATGCTGTGACCTGGCCTCCAGCACAGAAACCCCCACAGCACTGCCAGGGAGCCTGGCCTTCCTGATTTATCCATCAGAAGAATTACCTTCAAATAAACTTCAGCTTGCTCTTACCCAACCAAACACACCAGAACCTTTCCAGAATGTCTTCTGAGATGGCAGATACCAGGACATTTCCCTGGCTGCAGGCTGAATTGCAGGGCATAAACAAACATCTTCAGGACAGACATTGTCAGACACTGGCTGTGGCTGTGCTGTTGGCATCCCTTGGTCCCAGGGATCT